TTCAATGTCCAGATGCCACCATAGAAAAGAGGTTCAAGGGAAACTGTGACTCAGGCTGGAGTGAGCCCCAGACCAACCCCCGCCAGGATAGGCCAGAGACAAGATTAAGTTCAAAAACAAACAGAGGAATTTTGAAAGTTAATCTGAAAGATCTTTTTCTCTTTCCTTTCTTTCTTTCTTTCTTTTTTTTTTTTTTAGGGCTGAGCCAGGGAATCCGCCAGTCCTGCTGAAGCAGCAGCACTCAAGAAAGCAAACAAAAGTAGGCAGGCAAGGGCAAACTGGTTGAGACCGGTATCTGCCAAGACGGATGCCAACCTGGTCAAAGACTGTCCTTGTTCCAAGGAGCTTCAGCACACATTCGTTATAATGCTTTTGCACAGTCTGGGCTTTTGATTTTTACTTATTCATTCATTTATTTATCTGTGTGCCCGCATGTGTTCCCGTGTGGTGTGTATACCTAGGCATGCATGCCTGGAGCTGGCCTAACAGATGGTTGTGAGCTGCCAATAGGGGTACATGAAACAGAGCTCTGGAAAAACATTGGTCACTCTTAACCACTGAGGCATCTCTTCAGCCCAGCATGGTAGACTTTAGATAATAAAATCTCTGTGGAGATTAGGGTAACTCTAACACTAAGGCAGACACATTCTGAGCCATGAGCAACGAGTCCCCCAAAACCCATTCCAACTCTTCCCCATAAAAAGAAATATACAACTTTGTTCGTGGTTGCTCTGCATATGGGGTAGTCTCTTGTGGCTCTTGAGCAGCCTGTGTACTTCCCTGTCATCAACATTCGATTTTCTTTCACTTTAGATCTATCCTATGCTGATTCCTACCTTACGTGACACAAAGGACGGGCGAGGTGGGTGACATGACTATTGAATCAAATACTTTTAAAAGGGATTGGGTTACCAAGTTATAAAAAGACATGGAAAGAACTTCAAATGCGTATTTCTAACTGAAAGAAATTGGTTGAAAGGCTATAGACACACGATTGCAGCCCTACCAGGCATACAGAAGATGCTTTTCCTAAAAAGCACTGATTCCCCACCTGGGCTAACGAGATAGCGAGAGCAGAATAAAAGTCTGGCATCTCTACTTGCATTTTGTGCCTGTCTCCTTTACTTTGGATCAACCTCCTGCTAGAAAGTTGCCTGACAATCACCTCCTCAGCCTAGGTATCTGAAAACTGAGACACCTACCTTACCTCATCCCCTCCCTTTTAAAAGCTAAAACACCAACTCCCGGTCCTAAACCTTCAGCAAGATTCCAGGGGCGATAGAACCTGGTGGGCAGGACAGACTACCCACAAGATGAGGGCAAGCACACACCCTGGAGCAGATCTCCTATCTTAGCAGACCCAGACTGGGGCCCTCTGACAACAGCCATGATTGACAACTTTGAAGGTCAGGGGCTGAGCTGATGATAAGCCAAACTTTGACTAAGACAGCTTAAATATACAAATTTCTGTCTTCCTGCCAAGGTTCATCCTCTGTTTGAGCCCATTTTAACACTCCAAGATAAATTTGGGGTCACTGGACCTCATCTGCCAACCACCCCAATGGACACTGAGCGACTTTCTCTCTCTCTGCTCTGCATCATCGCTTGTCTCTGTAATTGGTGTGTTGGGTAGATGGCTGAGCATGGCCTATAGGGTCTGTTGAACTCAGGGGCTTTTGCCCTAAAACGTCAGTTAAACTGCTTGAGTATGGCTTTTCCCTCTGAACAGAACATGGTCATCCCATCGCCATCTTGGAGTAGATACAACCGTAGCTGGTAGCCATTAACCACTGCAACTAAATAAGAGAAACAAGAGAGTGATAGCCGAGTGTGTGACAGACCTGAAGGAGAACCTGTGGTACAGCCTCCACCAGGTCACCATCCATAATGGGATGAGACTTTGCAGTGAACATGGAACACCCATGTTCCTGCAAAGAAACTGATTGGCTCCATACTGTATTTTGGTGGAATCCTAACTTCGGTCTCTCTTTGGTACCTTATCTAAGGTGAACAGATGGGCAGGTTCATGTCTCCCCAGGAAACGCTAACATAAGAACTGAATAGGATTCCAGCAAAGCCAAAATTATGGAGACAGGAAAAGATTCCGTGCCTTTTGGGAGCTAAAGGAAACGGGGATGACTAACACTCATAGCAAAGAGGGGTTTTAGGCAGATAAACACTATGTATAGTGCTATAGTGGTAAATACACGGCACGCAGCTGCCCACACCCATCAGATCTCCCCAAAAAGTGAACTCTCACGTGCACTGCTGCCGTGACCTGCATGGCTTATGGAATGAAGAAACGACAGGCATGCCCACACATACAAAAGCTGGGATCTGCTGAGCTGTGCATGCTGATGAAGACACAGCAGCAGCCCAGAAGCTCAGCTCATTTATACAATACCGCTGAGTGAGGAGGGGAGTTCATTGCATATAGCTGAACAATGAGGTTCACTTTTTATATACATATAATGAGGTGGGTTAGCCAACCTTGGTAGGTGCTCTCCATAGGGGAGTAGCTTCAGGTTTGTACAGGAGGAAGGTGCTGCAGCTGATACTTTCTGTATACACTGGTTTTAGCTAAAGGTCAGTCACTTAGAACATCTGTACTTGGACCAGAGGAAGGCATTGGGTCTGAAGCACTGGGCTTCTTGACACGTCGATAACACACATTCATTCGAGACTGTATTCAGCCCCTACGCGTGTGGACTTGGGTCGTAATTATGGGTCTACTGTGACGAATGCGCCTTTCAGGTTGGGGATGTTGACAATAAAGGAGGCTAAGCCCATGTTGGGCAAAGGACAGGCAAGAATCTGTGATCCTCCCACTCAACTTTTCAGTGAGCTTAAAAGTACTTGAAAAAGAAGCCTCTTTAATGCTATATTCTTGTGATACATATATGCTATCCCTCTCTCTCTCTCTTTCTTTGCTATTACTTAATTTTCCTGTTAAACCAGTTTACCATAATTTCCAAATGTTTTTAGACCCTCTCTGTCCTGGACCAAAAGGTCTGATTCCGAAGGTGGAAATGCTGGCCTCTCACCTCTGCTGCAGTTAGCAAAAACTGTGCCTCAGTTTCCTCATCTACAAGCTGAGCAAGAATAACCAGATTTTGCCAGTTAGCCCTTCAGCAAATGTCTGGCTCCTGTGGTAAATGAAAGCAGGCAGGCAGCTGCAATTCAGAACCTCTTCTCCAAAACCTCCCCACCAGGCAGGACCCTTAGGAAAGCAAGCCTTCCTGCCATGGCCAGCTAGATGTGCCTTAGCCAGTCTTTATGAAGTACAGGGTGGGAAAGTCGTCCTCTCTGGCGGTGGATACCCAGACACAGAACTTTCTGGAATGTTCTGAAGAAGCAACCCCTGTTCTGATTGATCCTGTGCCAATCTCACGAAGTGAGCAGTGTGTTTCTACTTGCTGAAGCGAGCCAACGAGGACTGTACAGTGTTTCAGCCTCCCAGATATCCTGAATGGCACTCTCTTCCCTAGTGTAGACTTACCTCAGACATGCCTCTGCTCAGTGATCAATGTTCTGTCATCATTCTGATGTCACATTTGAAATCCTTTGTACCCATCTCTGCACTGTGGATCCCTGTGGTACTTTAGTGCAAAACAGCCTACCCTGTACATATTCAGTTAACCTATGAGCACACATGTCGCATAGCAAACACTTCGGTGTTTCAGAGCATTTCTTTATTTATTAAAAAACAGCAGGGAAATGAACGGTATTACTTCTAAGTGTTCCACAAGATAAATATTCATACATTATTGTAGTATCATCAATATTGCAATGTCACAGAGAGGTTAGAGGTCAAGGAAGAGGATGGAGTCTTTACCAACAGCTTCAGGTTCTGGAATTACATGAGACATTTTGACCCTGAGATGGCAATTCTGATAAACTGAGGCAGCCCCTCTGCCTCCTGGCACCCATTTGGGTAGTGCCCTCCGGCTTCATATCTTTCCCCTTTGGCTTGGGGCTGTCCTCAGGACAGCCAGGAGCATTTTGATAGCGTGCCTCAAAGGTTCACACTTCTGACATTCAACCATCTGCCCTGAGCCTCTGAGGCATGCTACAAGCTTAGTGGTGTGGCCATAGGGGCGTGGCCAGCTCTCCCTCCCTCTCTCCAACCATGGGGAGAAGCCCTGGTAGGTTGAGAACTCCTGGGCCTCTTCTGAAGAAGGCTGGGGTGACTGCACGGGGAAGTGGCAAGACCGTGGGCAGTCCACCAACATGGAGAGGCTTCTAGTCCAACCGCTTTGGTGTGAATGGCAGCTCTGCGCCTTAGCTTCTATGTGACCTTGGACAAGTCATAAAACATCGCTATCTTTTAAAATGGGGGAAAATAATAGCTCTCACCAAATAGGCTGTAAAGAGCATCAAATGAGACTTTAACACCCTCATAGAACTGAGGTGGGGCCCAGTAAGAACCAGTGCTCTCCTCCCATGAAGCCTTAGTCCAGCTCCTTGCTTCTTCTCCTATCTAAATTAACTATTTTCCCAGAAGCATGACGATAATTTAAAGATATGACTAAGCTTATCTTTCTTTTGTTAGAAACTTCCACAGCTTGCCAGGGCCCCGTCCACCCTTCAGTAAAAGTCTGTGGTCACTAGTATGCCTGGCCTCTGCCTCTCTCTCAGTCTCCCCTGAACTTCAAAGTCAAGGCCCAGCTCAAATGTCATTTCCCCAAAGAAGCCTTCCCTAAGCACTCCCTCACTTCTTAGCACTAATCCCATCAGCAACTGCTTTATTGATTTTTCTGTTTACGGCCTCACTAGAATGCAGCTCTGCAATGCCGGTTAGCCCAACTAACAATTGTAAAATTCAGCCAGGGCCTTGCCTGATACATTCATTGTCTGTGGAGTTCAGGTGCTGTGTAAATGAAACCAGTTTGGTGGCCTCTAGGGGCGCTCTGAACACCACAACCCCAAGCTCCAAACCCTCCCTGAGTCAAAGCCTGGTCATCTGAGTGCACACAAAAAACTACACACGGAGCCCCGAGTTCCAAGGTCAACACTTTATTCTGTTTTGTCTTAGGTGTTCTAGTTTGCAAGCATGAATAAATGGAATCAAGAATAGTCCTCTCCCTTAACGTCCTTCATTTAAAAAAAAAAAATCATTTAGCAGTTCTCCTGCTTTTCCTAACGAGGATGGGACTGAGGGTGACCTAAAGGAGGACTGCAGTCACATGGTGCTAATCATAGCGGTGTCTCCTGCCAGTTCCCCTCACTGAGCAGCCAGAGGCCGCGGGCGGCTATAAATAGCCCAGCAGCTCTCCCCTTACAGCAGGGAATGAACTTGGCAACAACAAGAGCCGTAAGGGGTGAGTCTTCGTGTTTCCTGCTCACCCAGGGCCTGCCCTTTGGGGATGCCTGGAGATGCAGCACACAGGGAGCACTCCCTGCCTTTGCCTCCCATGGGGAACCCGCAGACTGGAAGGGCCGGGAAGAACCCACTTCACCCATTTCACCTGCGTGCCCTCACAGGCACAAAAAAAGAAAAAGGAGCCAACGAGCAGAAATAAGCGTTCTCCCGAGGACCGCTGGTGAGGGGTTCCCAGAGGAGGTACCCCCAATTCCCAGACAGTGCGCAGCACTGAGGAGGGACACCCTTCTTCTGGACTGGCCTTCCAGGTCACTCAGTTCACAGGACAGTCTCTCGAACGACACCGATGAGGCTGTGTGGGCGGTCAGCCTCGGCTCGCTGCTGGGGCCTCCTCTCAGCTCTCGGCCTTCCTGCCAGGGAAAAGGTGCTCAGGTCTCCACAGCTGCGCAGATGGAGCAGGCCCGGCTGTCTCCTGGAGGTCAGCGCGTGCGTGGAGCTCAGCACATGCGCCGTGCTGGGCTGTGAGGGGGCCATTATCTTCGGAAAAAGAGCAGGAGAGGGGATGTTAGCTCACCGGGACTGGCCTTGGACTCACCCCCTTGTATCCGTCTGTGGATTTTAATGTTTAGTTGCTTCAGAACAGAAAGGGGTGTTTTCCAGAGTAGAATTTAGAATTTAGAATTCCGAAGATGTTTTGAACTTTGCTTCTCTTATGGAGTTTTGAAGAAATTCTTCTAACTTTCTATTGTTTCAGCAGTAGGCAAGCCTACTTTCCTGTTTTATTTTTAAGGTTGTTCTCTTCATATTTTGTGTTCCAAGCCAGTGACTCCTAGTGGGTGGAGAGGAACGTCGGCAGAATAGCTCGTTAGGAACATGGCCTTCCACCTGCCAGCTACTGCAACAGTCTACATGGACGCTTGCTTTTTTGTTTCTGTGTGTGTGTGTGTGTGTGTGTGTGTGTGTGTATACAAACGCATGTGTGCAGTACATGCGATTGTGTGTGAATGTGTAGACTAGAGGTGACAGTCAATGTCGCCCTCCATCACTCTTCACCTCAATTTTTTGGAGTGAGTCTCTCTGTACCTGATGATGGCCATTTGGGTTAGGGTGGAAGCCCCCAGGGTCAGCCAGACCAGCCTTGTTTTCACATGTACACCAGGGATCCAAACTTTGGTCGCACAGCAAACATTTTACCCACTGAGCCATCTCCCCAGCTCCAAGCTTGTGAGTTTTAACAAGAAGCCAGTGATACCAACGCAGAACCACTGGTCTGGATCGGGTAATACGATTATAAAGTGCTAGTTAAAATCAATGATGCATCAGGGGGATCTGATAACCTTTGGATAAACAGCATGCAGGACGCTTTATCTGCGGAAGCTGGAGAACGCCTCTACTGCTAGGCCTATCTTTCATGTGTCATATACCGTTAAACATGTAACAGCATCACTTCTCAGAAATGCAAAAGTGAAGAATGGTTCTGATCCAAGTAGAACTGATGAGGGAGGAACTGGGCTGCTGATGACTTGTAGAAAGCCGAACGTTATGCTGCTACGGTGTGTGAGGCCCTTCGTGCCTTGGGAAAGAAGCGGGAGCTTCACTGCCGCTGAACTTCATAGAAAAATCGTCCCAAAGCCACTCTCTCAGTCTGAGATGCTGTGCACAATGGCACAGAGCAGGTTACACAAAGGCCCCACAGTGTACTGAGTCCACAGCATCTAACCCCACTAACCCAAGAGAATGAGGGAATAGCCGAAAGGTCACAACAGCCCTTAAAGGAGCAAAGCGAGGCTCTTGCTAGGACGAGATTCCACTTACCTGGAGACAGAGGGCTTGGAGACTACCTCGTCCAACCCTTCCCTTTAAAGAATGACAAACCTGAGGCCCAAACAGATTCCATGTGTGTCCAGTTTTGTCTTTTTCTGGGGCACCTTCAGTTTAGGGCACCCTTTTACTTTTTAATCTAGGGGGGGAAATAAGTATTTGTGCCTCTAAATCAGTGGTTCTCAACCTGCGGGTTGAAAACCCTTTGAGATGGTGAAATGACCTTTTCACAGGGGTCGCATAAGACTGTTGGAAACACAGATATTTACATTACGATCCATAACAGTAATAAAACTATGGTTATGAAGTAGCAACAAAAATAATTGTATGCTTGCGGGTCACCCCAGCATGAGGACCCGTCTTCAAGGGTCACAGCATTAGGAAGGCTGAAAGCCACTGCTCTAAGTCCTATCAGCTACTTTGTCTGGCGTAGCAATTCGTGGGCATGGGAACAGCTCCTAGAACCTTGGCAAGCATGAGATTCACTCTGGCATCATTTTTTTAAAGGTTGAGAAAACACTGAATCCTGGGCAGCCTCCTGTTCATGAAATCAGAAGCGTGACGAACTCCACAGTGCCTGGATCCTTTACCAGGCAGAGTCCCACCTTCCAGAAAACGGGGTTCTCTTCCCTTAGGCCAAGAGCGCTGTGGGAAAGTGACACAGCCAGGAGGGAAAGCTCTCCAGCTTCCTCTCTGATGACAGAACCCCAGCCCCCAGGTCCCTGGAGACTGTGACCGGGATACTCTGCCTCAGATGGGAAATCAGAGAAACCACTTCTGCCATGGTAGACACCGGCTATTGGATGCGTGCCTGATATTGATCATCACCTGCTCTAGGAAACTGGCGCTCGTGATGGCTTCCTCCATGTGTTCCTCGTCGGACTTCAGAACCGACTTTATGTTCTCTACGAGTTCGTGGATGTCCGGAGTCATGCTGCAGGAGGACTGCTCCAGGAACCTGGCCACCAGCAGCTTCGTGTCTATGTAAGACCTGTAATCTATCAAAGAGCGGGGTCTGCATCTCGACGCCCTCGGTCTCGCACCTCTCCTCAGGGTCACCGAGGCCAGGTCTAGCCTCCTTTCTGTCTGAGTCGCGGCTTCGCAGCTGAGCACTGGGGTAGCTGTGGGGAGAGGTGAGTAAAACGTCACCATTGAACAGGCCCCTCCAAACACTGGCCATAAAGCTCAGTGTGAACAACATCTGACAGATGCCCGCGGCCATGCATGTACATCCATCTTGAAGAAAAGACAAAATGGAGGGGAATGAAACTACCGCGAGCCTATTGTGTGACCTGCACTTCCCATAGGCTAGGTCCTGAGACACTGAACCATGGCACATAAACGGTCCCCCGACTCCAAGATGGATAATCCAGCAGAGAATCCACAGCACAAACCACAGAGGACTGTGTTCCGTGGGGTACAGCAAATAGATAGGAATGGACGGCCAAGCAGAAAAAAAAACAAAAACAAACAAACAAACAAAAAAACATGGTGGACCAATGGAAAGAATGCTGGGGGCAGATAGGTTCGGAAGAGTCAAAGAGAGGAGGGGGTGGATGAGAGACTTGTGGGATGAGCACAGTTTACTGTCACAGTACCTTTATCCTAAATGTCCTCAAGGGCACTGCACTGACCGGTTACTGGGTGCTCATGACTATCACAGAAGCCTTAGGTACAGAAAGTCACATCATTCAAGAAGTCAACAGAGTCTAAAAATCCACTGCAGGCTCTAATTTCCACAGCCACCTCCATCAACAAAGGTATAAAGATTGGCAGGAAGCTATTTCCCCATGAACTGGGTGGAGAAATTAATACTCATGTCTCATCTCCATGTATCCATAAGCCACCATCAGCCTGCAGTGCACACAACTGTCAGCTTAAATCTGTAAAGGCCTCAGGAGTGAGGATTTAGATATTCATGGAAGCAGGAAGCACGGGGTGTAGGGGGAGGGGGACAGACAGAAGAAGAAATGGTTCCCTCTTCCTCTGGAGAAAGGTAGACAGTTCTGAACCGGGGTTAGAAGCTTGTCCTTCCAAGCTTGCCATGTGGATATTATAGACAACGAGTCTTCCAGAAACTCGGGGTAAAGCTGTATGAGGACAGAGTGGAGTTTACACTTGCTCACTGAAGGCAACTTGGTTCCTTTCCCAGTGAAACAAGCCAACAGGTAAATGTCCTTTCTTCCACAGGGATGGAGAATGCAAAGGGGGTCCAGGAAGGTCTCCGTCTGCTGTGCACACGGCTAAGTGCTCCTGGAAGCTGGCACATGGCCAGCTTGGAGACTCAGCTTGCCAGGTAGCATACAGGAGATCCACAATGGACGTGGGTCTTTGAACTACAGGCCAGGCTGCCAAGCCTACTGGTTTGCAGAGGCACACAGCTAGTCTCAGGAGGCAGGACTTCCTCCCCACCTGGAAGCTGCTGCAGAGACAAGAGATGTGTCCTCTGTGGGTTCTGTATGGTCAGTCCAGAGCTGTGACAAATGACACTTGCTGTCAGAGGGACAGAACAGAGACCACAAGGGCCAGACAGGACCCAAGAGAGCAAAGTTAGAGGACATCCAATTATTCTGCACAGAGCTTCTGAAGAGCAGAGCTTAACTCTTAGACTAATTTCCCCAAAGAGGACCCTGCTAATTGAATTACAATGCTGTTCACTTTATTCCTCTGCCTCCTTTATTTTTTTATAGACTCTTCTATGATGAGAGATGTTTATAGATTTTCAGGTAGTCATATATTTTATAAAAGGCCCAATGTGATTATTTTGAATTTTTTAAAAATTATTCAACATCTGTATTCAAGCAAAACCCAAAACAACAAGGGAGGGAAATGAAGTAACGTGAACGTGTTTCACAACAATCCAAAGTTTTTAAAATGCGGTCAGATTTCAATAATTACGACTACTCAAAGAAATAAGCATACAGCCTTTGACTGGTTCTCACAGGACTGCCAGCAACTGGAAATCAGGATACAGTTTACATAATAATCTTACAGTCATTCCAAACACAGCATCATGGGCAACCAAATGCTACTGCCAGTGACTTCAGGAACAAATTCTACCGGCCTCAAAGTGCCAGGGCCAGTGAGTTGCTTCCTCAAGTAAAGGCACTTGCCTCCAGTGTGATGACCTGGATAGAGTCCCCAGGCAGAGAAGTGACGCATACAATCTGTCCTCCAACCTCCATATATGTACCACAGTACACCCACCCTCCCCCATAACAGAAATATGTATATATACATATACACATATATATAATTATATAAATGTAATTTATAAAGAAATGCCACATGTATTTTTTCCAATGGGAACATAGGATGTCTTATGTTTCCGTGGCCTCTTAACCTCCCTCAAGATACTGCTTAAACTTGCAGAACCCTCAGCTGGCCAGAGCCACCTGCTGGTACCTGGCACCTTAACCGATACTTAGCAGCAGTCAAAAAAGCACAGTGGTCTACCAAGAGCCCCGGGGAGTGACGTCACCTCTTTCCTCAGAATGGCGAAGCACAGGGTCGCTCTTTGATCTTGCCCGCAGGGGTGGGAAAGCTCTCCGGCTTCTCAGAGGTGGCACCAGGGTGGAAACAGGAGTTGATACAGATGGGTTTTCATCGCAGGTTGCGTTAGGAAGAACCCCACCTGATTTTTTATAATAAAAATGAAAATAAAAGAAACACATTATTTCAACAGCTGTAGCCTTCAAAATGTTGGTCAGGAAACACCTGCAGGCCCAAACCTGACAGGACAAGAGTCCTAGAATTAACAACATTTACTTAGGCTGCTGGCCCAGTCAGTTTTCAATTCCCAGCAGCATGGCAAAGCCTCTGTCTCCAAACTACCCTGCCACACTTAAAACAAGCGACCAAGAAAAGACGATAAACCCAAAAGACAAAATTAAGAAGCCTTGCCAGAACATCCGTTTGGTTTGTTTCCTAGTGGTATTTAGACTCTTTCTCACTAGGGCACCCTACTGCAGCCCCCAGGAGCTCCAAAGGTTTTCACAGCATCCGGCTCCTCAGAGAGGTGCCACCTGCATGGGTGAGAGGGCTCTCCTGCGGGCTGCAGATCTAAGGCTAGCAGATGCACATCTGCCTGGCCCAGAGTGTGCCCAGGCTGGAACACTCTTGATTGTCTAGCAAAGGAGCCAGTGGCTGGGAAGTGAATCAGCAAATCACACTGGGAGGATTGGATGACCCCTGCTCAGGAAATGTCACTACATCAACTGGAAAGCTGAGTTTCTGATGGGAAAATTCCTTGTTGATGTTTTTTTTTTTTTTTTTTTTTTAAGTATTAAAGTAAGAGAATGCTGTTTTATAACTCCTCTTAAGGTAGCTGGGGGTTGGAGCTCAGGGGCAGGGGCTCAGTCTGCCCCCTCCCAAATGTAAGGTGACTAGAAGAATGTTATAGTACTGCTGAAAAGCTACCTCCACCTGAAATGGTGGAAAGTCAATCCATTATTTATTGCCATCTGCAATTTTGTACCAGTGGACAATTCTCTGGGCCATTTAAAACCTCCCCAAAGACAGAAAGCTGGGACAAAGGTGTCCTTAAATTACAAGGATAAATGTAAATTGACTCTAGCATTGGCCACAGGACTGAAAAAAAATCTTAATTCTCTAGGCACTAAAACCCTTGGTTATAAATGACAGTGAGCATATATACTGCAACACATGAAACTCATGTTTCTTCAAAGGAGCCCAACTCGTTTTCACAGAACAAAGAAGGAGATCTGGAAACACAGGAACAACAAAATAACTTCCACTCTAGTCCATGAGTTCCTGAGGATAGTCTGATTATTCAGAAAAAGGTTTTAAGTAGATCTCTTTATTTCAGTATACTTTTTTTTTTTCTTTTTCCTGTTCACATTTTAGATCTCACTCCTAAGCCCTAAATGTTGACAGTATGTTGGCCCCAACGAGGAGGTAGGCTGAGCCACTCGCTCCAAGAACACTAGTCAGTTCCCTCTTCTGCCACGTTCTAATCTATTGAACTGTGGCCTGGGCAGTGTGTTACCTTGAGACGATATTTGTGTGCAAACCCGCTCCAGTGGGCTCGCAGCAGCTTCTGCTCCTTCTGGCATTTGGAATGATGACTCCTGCATCACAAAGGAAGGGAGAAAGAGGATTAGGTTTTGTTTGTTTGATTATGATGCTCAATCATTGCTCAGAGGGCCCCGGCAAACTCCTTTAGATGCCATGAGGACGTACTCTCTGTGAGGTGAGCCCCGTTTCCTCTGGACATACCTGATCCTGGCCGATCTGGCTCACTACGGCTTCATACGGAGGCGGGGGGTCCAGAGGACAGAAGACTTCCACACCCTTGATTCGGGCTCCATAGATATGCGGCAGCGGGATGCCATCAGGACCAACCATCCTAGAAAAGGCACCTGGTGGTCAGAAGGTGCTCTGCACACTGGCCCTCCAGTTGCAGCAGCCCCTGAATCTTCGCATTTGACTCTAAGCTGGGTCGGGGGAGGAACCACTCCCAGTGGCTCAGTCCAGAAGAGGGACAACCATCCAAGCTGTCCCTAGACAAATGACACTGTAGAAAATGTAATGCCTTTTTTTTTTCCTTTTAAGTGCACCAGTGGAGACACAAAAAATAGTCCATCAAGGAAGAAAGCATGGGTGGCTGTCAGGCTCTGAGGGGAGGGGACTGGAAGGTGACTGTTTATGTGTTTATGGACTTGGCAGAATAACTCTTTGGAACAAATAAGAGGTGGTAGATACACAATGTGGTGAATCTACTAAGTACTGAATCAGAGAGTTAACAAGACAAAACAGCTAAGGATAAGAAGAATCTTGGTTCTGTCCTATATCAGTAGACAGAAAAGTGTCTTACTTGATTTCCTTAATGTCTGACTCATGAGAGAAATTCACTCTCATGTAACTCTCTAAATTAGCTCTTTGTTTAAAGTTAACCCTCTTTTAAAGAGTCTTTAAAAGGAGGAATTAATGTCAAAGAAGAGGCAAGCAGTGCCACGGCTTAAAGACAAAACAGGAGGTAGCAGAAAGGACCACAGAGTGATTCCCACAGGTAACCCCTCCACACGTGCCAGCTGACGATGTGCTGTGCCAGGTGTGATGACTGGATAAAATTTTAAAACAGTCGTATGAAGGACAGTGAAAGAGGCGGGTTAAGGTCGGTGTTTTATTTTCCTCTGAAGCTGACATAGCGAACCCGGCTTAGTTGACAAAAGGATCTGCGTTGATTTGAAATATGGACATCTCCCTCCCAACAACAAAGCTGGAAACCCTGAAAGCGTTTCGCAGTTACCAAGCCACAAGGAGGCTGAGTTACTCTGAGGCAGGGTTACTCTGCCTTGTGAATGACACTGAGATACCAGCTGCTGTTTTCCTGGTTACAGTTAATTTCTCTTGGAGCTCCTCTTCCTCCTGCACCCATTCCCGCTGGCTTCAACTATTTCCACTCTGCTCTTCATCCCCCTTCTCTTGCTCCAACACTTCTGCTCTTTAAGTGTGGACGGGTGGGGTTCCTAAGACGGTACCGTCTGCTACACTTAGCAATGCAAATGTAGGATGCCTCCAATTCAGCACAATACGCATAAGGTTACTTCTCTGGGGAGTCCAGAGCTGACTGGGTGACCCCGTTGGTTATTCTGGGCTTGGGAGACCTTTGGGCATTGAGTACTATGATCCTAATACTCAATTAGTGATCTAGACTGAGCTCCTGGCTTAGAGCAGAGGAAAAGGTTTAACTCATTTTTAATTCCTATGAGCCAGCACAGCACCAAGCAAGCAGTGGAAGATTGATAATGTTTGCTGAATGAATAAATGAGATGATTCTTTAAGGGTTCCATTCTAAGCATCACTAACAACCAGGCAAATGCATATTTCATCTTGCAAATAATAATCTCTGAGATTTAAGGAAAACAGTCCAAACTTGAGCTGGAATTCGAAAAGGAAAATAAGCACTGTGTTTGGTTTTTTCTAAATCAGGGAGATGCAATTAATAATTAGTTGGGGTTTTTTTGTTTTTGTTTTTGTTGTGTTTTGTTTTGTTAGTAACTGCAAAGAATTTCATGACTGTTGGGACCCATTGATGTTTTATAATGAAACATCGATCCCGCCTAACTGGGCAAGTTTCCAGGGCAACAGAAACTCTCAATCAAGTCAAATTACAGCTGTTATCTCTCTGGGTATCAGTTTTCTCTAGGAAGCTAATTGAAATTGAAAAAGTTTATCTCTAGGTCAAGGTTGGACCTATCTTTGGAGACATCTGGTTTATCAGAGAGAAACAAGAAGACAGGGAAAGAGAGCTAACCAGGCAGGACAATCTGTCTGGATTTTGGAGGAAAAAAAAGTAGCTGCTCCGGCTGAGTGCTCTGGTGACCACGCCAGTCTCAATACAAGAGCGCACCGCGGAGGCCCCAGCAGACTGCGGAAGGATACCTGCGGTTCATCCGAGGTGTGCAGGAGTAAAACGTGGCGAAGTAGGAAGGGGGAGGCACCGGCGGCACAAAGTCATCCGGATCTGGAATCCGTCCATGCTCTTCCACTTCTTCGGCAGACATCTGGGATTCGTCCTGCTTAAACAGCACGAAGAGAGAAAAAAAAGATGGATCGCACAGTAGGAGTGAAAGGCAAGGTGGAAGCCCCACACAGTGCTTAGACGCACAGTACGGATAGACTGCCAGGTCAAAACCCTGCGCCGTGTTCTCTCACACTTACAACACATGGCCTTCTGCTGGCGAAGATCTGGAGGTAGCGCAGGGCCGCAGCCACCAGACACACGGTGGTGGTCAGGGCATTCAAGGCACACAGGGCAAACAGGACTTTCTGGAAACAACAAGACCACTGATCAGAGAGCAGTGTAACAATGTGCCAAGAACAGGTTGCCAAAACTGGCAAGCTTCCAAGGGGATGAGGGCAGCGGGTTATATAGCATCTGGCTAGTGGAAGTGCTGAAGGCATGAGGCAGGAAGATCTGAGTTCTAGACCAGACCTTAATTCATACAAATAAGTGACCCAAAAGTCCTGCCCTGGAAGCTCCCTGTCTTGAAAAGGCCGAGTGTTTATACACAGGGTAGTGAGACCTCCATATCCATGGTGTTCATCTTCACATATGCAAGCAACCCAAAATGGAAAATACTCACACACACACACACACACACACACACACACACACACACACAAAATGGAGTATGGAGTGTGGTGAACATATACAGACCCTTTTCAGGTCATCTTTTTTTCTTAAGTGATGTAACGACTATGTGCAAAATACATTGCACCAGCTGCTGCATCTAAAAATGGCTCAAGCATGCAGAAGTGTGTGTGCTGGTTATGTGCAAACCTATGCCCTTTTACGTAAGGGTCTTGGGTGTGACCGAGTTCGTTGTCCTCGAGGGTGCCAGAGCCAATTTCCCGGAGACAGGGAGGGAATTTTGGGTTTGTTTGTTTGTTTGTTTGTTTGTTTGTTTGTTTTTAACAAGCATCTGAACACTATCTACAAAGCTCCTTCCAGAAGAGCAGAGAGACTCCTCCATAGCTGGTGTCCACCAGGGAGAGGACACCCCAGCAGGATGAGATCTGCCTAACGTGTGACTGACTGCTGCTCTGCAGCAGGCAGTGATGCCCCAGAACTATCACAAGGCGGGTGCCAGGGACAGCCAGGGAGAAAACAGGCCTTCTTTCCTCAAAATAGCAGCAAAGGCAACACTGAAAGTTGCCATGGCTACAGCCCTGGCTCCTTCCAGGGGCTTTCCCCAAGCTAAGTCAGGCTTAGAACGCTCCAGATGACTCAACTACAAAACATGCAGAAGCCAAAGCGAGGGGGTCATTTTTAAGTCTGTACTACCCAGAGCTGGCAGCTCTGCAGGGTTCTCTCTCTGACGTTCTCCTCCTCCCTGAAAAGCAAAGAGCTAGAGAAAGCCAGAGGGTATCGGACTAACCAACAACTAAGGGGTCATTGATTTTGCCTCCCGCTGCTGCCAGGCCACAGTTGTCTGGCTCCATCATAAAGGCTGATTTTGCATTTCTCTTTGACCTGAACCCTTGATGTATTTTCCTAAATTTCTCTTACCTATTATAACTGTTGCCTATTAAACAAGATACAAAGAACTCCAGTGGCTCCTGTACTTTCTGGCTGATCTTTTATTGTTGTTGTTGTCGTTTTGTTTTGTTTTGTTTGTTTATACAAAGAGTTTCTCTGTGCAAGCCTTGGCTGTCCTGGATTCGCTTCGTAGAACAGGTTGGCCTTGAACTCACAGACATCTGCCTGCCACTGCCTCCCTGAGTGCTGGGATACAGGCGTGCACCACTGATGTTAGTCTATGTGTCATAGAATGGCAGCATTCGACAAGCTCACAAAGCTCACCTACAAATGAACAACAATGCCAAGTATGTATGCAACCAAAGGTTTTCTGAAAGCTACACCTCAGATATGTGTATAAATATATACATATATGTCTAGTTAGACTCCTTTCCAAATATTTACCAGTTTATAATTCTTAAAAGAATGAAATCTCTCTGCACATAATTTAAGATGCAATCTACGGCCTTCTCTATACTCCATTCTGACTATGGGTTATTAGCTCAGACTTGCTTTTAGCCTCTTGAGCATTTGAAGGCAGTCACGGAATGGGAATGCCTCAAGGAGCAGCCCTCTTGGGTCCCTGTGGTGCATTTCTTGGGGGAGCCTGTGAGCTCACCATCATACCTTAAGCAGAAGGTGAACAGCGCTACAAGGCTGAACCGGAAAGAGTTTCAAGGCATTTTCCTTGTCTGTGCATTTGGCTGGTTGAAATTCTTCACAACAGAAGCAGATCTTGCCTTCACCTAAGTCCACCTTAAGGAAAGATGCAGAACAATGATTTTATTATTTAGGGGGAAAAGCAGTCTTGCTCCGACACACAGCGTGCATCACACAGAATGTGATATGTCTGGCTCCATGTCAGACAACGTTGATATCAGCAAGATGTATTTTGTTTTTCAGTTTGTGCATGTGTGTGTGAGAGAGAGAGCAATGCCCGAAAATGCCAAAAGGGGTTGGCGAGGGAGCACTGGATCCCTTGGAGCAGAAGTTACAGAAAGTTTTAAGCCACCCAGTGTGAGTATGAGGAAATGAACTCAGGTTTTCTGAAAGAGGAGGACATGCTCTCAACTGCCGGGCCATCTCTCCAGCCCCAAAGGTCATTTCGTATCCATGCTCCAAGGCCACTGCAGGCCAACATGGGGCTCTGCTTCTCATATTTCTTTGGGGACTTAAGAGATGTGAAAGAGCCACCATCTTGGTGCTATGGCATGGTTGACATATCTGAGAGACAGAGGGACACCCGACGCATATGTGAACTCAAACAGACAATTCTCTAAAATAGAATGTCTCATCCATCACATGAGGCTTGGTGACAGTAACAAAAAAAAAAAAAAATCTGAAATTCAAACCCAGTAACTATCCTATAATTTTTCTAATTAGCGGTAACAATGATGCCCATCCCTTTAGCTCATAACTATGTGGCCAAAGTGAATCTCATGATTAACTTTGATTCCAAGAAGGCAAGAGAAGCACAGTCTACCTCAAGGGTAAGAAACACAGGGTGAATTCTGTGAACAGTAGCCCTGGGCCATTGTAGAAAGGCCTCCCAGTGCTCATAATGCAGGCATAGATTTTTATTGAAGTGATAATTGATGAATAACCTTCTGTAGATTTAATGAGATGCTGTGCCAACTTTTAGCCACTTTTCCGAGTTTTTCTTAAGGCAAGCTAAGAAAATATGTAACACTTGCCCAAAACCGGAGGGCAGAGGCAATCTTTCTGACTTGTTCTGCAGTTAGCTTTGCTTCCTGTTTTCCTAACAGTGAAGGTCACTAATTGTTAATTAGGCGTCTCTCAGTTCACTAGCTGCAAACTTTTCAAGGTGGAAAACTTGAAGCTGCAACTTCAAGCTGCAACACTTTCATACTGTTTTAAATTTGGGGGAGGTATTTTTTTTTTTAATTGAATGAATGTTCTTAGTGTCTAGTTGCGGTACTGAGTTTCATGGTTTTGTGAAAATGAAGGAAAAATTTGGTTCTTCCTAATAAAGTTAAGTAGGAAAGTTAAGGAAAAATATTTTCCCACCATTACATTACAAAACATGGGGATCCACTATTGTAGTTTATTTTCTATTTTGAGGTAAATTTTGCATGTATATAATAATCTCAAGCATACAAAGAATAAGTATATAATTTGAGGATTTTTCGGCAATGTATTGTATAACCCAAGTCCTTCTCAATGCCAGCTGATACCTCATATCAGAGAAAATCCCTTCATGGCTCTTCTCCATCACCTCTCCCCACTTCCTTCCCAGGGACAACCATCATGCTCTCCTTTTGCTCCTAGTTTTTATATAAATTCCATCTCTGATACAAAGACTACCAATTGGAGCTACCCTCCTAGTTTCCATGATCATCTCTACCAGTTCATTACCATACTCGGTGCTTTCATGTTTTGCCTGTTGACACCCTAATATCTGAAACATCCCTAGACCTAAGACCACACACACACACACACACACACACACAGTCACAGGGCTGTTTGTATTGGAAGTTTCCCACAACTGTCTCACAGTGTTTAGCCAGGCTCCACATACTCTTCCACCTCTTGAATCCCTGGCCTCTCTTTGCCCCTCTCCTCCCATGGTCAGTGGGCTCCCACACATTAAGTTGAATTCAGCAGAACATGGCTTGGAAGGCCTCCTTCCCTTGAGCTTCCTGCTGAACAGTTCAAGTCAACAGTGTAAGTCAACCTTCTGCAGATGACAACCAACTTCCATTCTGCTTCCTCCTCGTGGGAACCAAACTAATTTCCACATGACTCAGGATGGTTTCTATTTCTGATCCTTGGTGCAAGCCTCCAGAGCTTACCCAAGAGCCCATATTTCATAGTTCCCTCTGGTAGTGCTAGGTGTCACCTTACAAGGGATCCCTTCCTCACCAGCCCATTCTTGCTGAATGGTGTTTTGTGAAGGAGGATGAGGCCTGGAGACGGGGCTGTGCAGCAAGGCTGCAATATTCCACTAGATGGCCAAGAACACAGGAACTTCTGCTGTCTGCAATCTTTAGAGTGAGCCCAGATAGATGGCAAGACTGTCCAGAGGAGTGCAAGCTAATCCCTTTAAACAGGACTGCTTGAAATTTTAATCATTGCATGGTCATGAAGGGTAAGTATTATTCGTACTTGCCGCAAGGAAGTCCCGAAGCCCTAGTAAGCAACAGTGCGTTTTATGGTCCCATTCCTCCGCTATCCTTGCCAACTGAACACCTACACCTTCGTTCTTAACCCTACCTCTGCCCAGGATGTCTAAAGACTTGTTCTTATTGCTCTTTGATTGCTTGAAGTCATCTCAGAAATGCCTTTAAACGTCCCCCAATTTCAAGTGCTAAACTTCCACCCTTCAACCTCCAAGTCACTACCTGACACTATCAGATCCTGGCTCTTCCTTGTTATGTGGTTCTCAGCCTTAGCTGCACATTAGGATGTTCCAGAGACCTTTGAAAAAGTATGCTGAAGCCATATTTAGCAATTAGGGAACTACAAATTAAATTACAATGACTGTGTGTGTGTGTGTGTGTGTGTGTGTGTGTGTGTGTGTACATATACATGTATGGGTGCCCACAGAGGCCAGAAAAAAGCATCAGATCCCCTATGGCTGGGGTCACAGATGGTTATGAGGACAGAACTCAGATCTCCAACCAGAGCAGCAAATGATCTAAGCCACTGAGCCACCTCTCCATCCCCAATTACTACGACTATAAGCTCTGACTTTAGTCCCTCAAAATAGAAACAACTTCTGCTGGTAGAGATGGGAGTCACTGCTGGAAACATGAATTGAAGCTCTTCAATTACACTATCCATTCCAAAATGGGCGTCACATGCCTTTAATCCCAGCAGCCAGCAGGCAGATTCTCCGTGAGTCCCAGGCCAGCCAGTTCTATACAGTGAGACTCTGTCTCAATCACTCAATCAATCAATCAATAATTGAACATACTCATTTTGACCAACTATAAAGGAGAACTATTTAGTAGCTTCTTGTAAAGTTGAATGTCTTTACCACATAATCTAGCAATTACTTGTGCAATATTTACCCAAGAGAAAGGAAAGTAAGTTCTGTCTGTTAGAACACCGGCCTGTACCTTTAGGCCATATCAGACAGCCCGACTCTTCAGGGCCTTGTTAAGAAACAGTCTGTGACACGACTTGACAGCTCTCAATTTATGCCACCCAGCGTCTCCATGCTCCTTGCCATGCACACTGTTAACTAAACCATGTGATGTAAAATTTTCTGCCACCCCCTAAACGGTCATAACATAAAGTTACCTTTTTTTCCCATATTTTCATGTGGAGATTGGGCTGGAGACATCTAAGGGAAACTTTCATGATGCAAGTGTTCTGAAGGCTACTCCCTTTAAAAGGAAGTTTCAAGTCCTTTTCAGGCCCTCAGCATCATTCCTTCTCAAATGTATTGTGTAACCTTCTGCCTAATGTTCTCCCTCCAACCTTCTGGCCCATGGTGGCCTTGAGATGATGGATGAGAGTGGGTCCCAAAGCACACCTTTGAATACCTGGTCCCTAGTTGGTAGAATTGTTTGGAAGGATTAAGAGGTGTGACTTAGTTGAAGGAGGCATGTCACTGGGGGCAGGTTTTGAGACTTCAAAAGCCCACAGCATTCCCAGTTGGTCTGTCTCTGTCTCTCTGTCTGTCTCTTTCTCTGTTTCTGTCTCTCTCTGTCTCTCTCTCTCTCTCTCTCTCTCTCTCTGTGTGTGTGTGTGTGTATGTGTGTGTGTGTCTACTTGTGGATCAAGATGTGAGCTCTTGGCTGTTCCTAACACTATGTTTTTGCTCTACTATCATGGACTCTAGCGCTCTGAAACCATAAATGTAGTTAAACTCAAATTTTCTTTTATAAGTTGCCTTGGTCACGGTGTTTTACCATAGCAATAGAAACTCTAACAAATACAAGACCCTTTCATACCAATAGACCTTATACCTGAAGGGCCTATGTATCAGCTTCCTTTCCAGGCCAGCCACTGCTGTGCCTCTCTTAAGCATGTGCTTTCTGCTTCACCTGAAGACATTCACATCGTATCAACTGGCCAGCTATTGATCGTCACTGTCACTTGAACAAAAAGCATTAATGCTTGTTTTAAGATTTGTGAAGAATGTGAGAAACAACAACAGGTTCCCCAGGTGGGTTCCTGGGGAACTTTCCTGATTGGGAAAGTTAAGGATTTCACTGCAAGGCCTTGCTTGACCACAGTTTTACTAGTAATAAGTCAGCCTTCTTGGCTCATGCCCTCTTAATTTCTATAGAGTAGACTGCAGTGGGACAAAATTCCAAATAAGTAAGGTTTACCATAATCAGGTAAGAGTCTATGCCTGTTGCTTTGAGCTAAGTGAGACATTTATTACTAAAAGTCCGTTTTCTTTCTTTTTTAAGGTTTAGATACCCAGACATTCCACTTTAGAGTAACATACAGAAAACAAAAAACAAAACAAAAACCTGACAGCAGGGCTTGGGAGACACATTTATACACTCCGGGTCACAGCAGCTTTATACACAATAGACAAACGGTGGCAACAATCCAAGGATCCATCCACAGATGAGTGGGCAAAGTGCATCACGTGTGCTGGCAATGGAGTATTAGTCAGCCTTTAAAAGGAAGAGAATTCTGACACAGACTCTACCATGGCTACACCTCAGGGACCCACAGAAAGGCAAACCTGTGTGATGCTATTTATGTGAATTTCTCTCTAGAGTACCTAAGCTGATAAAACAGACAGCGGAGTGACGGGACCTGGGGAGAGGGTGGCAGAGAGCCATGAAGCGCTCTGGGGACTGTCTTCACAGCAGTGTGGATCTGGGTGACACTGCTGAATGATGTGCACATAGAAAATGGCCAACATGAATTGTTTTGTGAGCAATTCACCACAATTTACAAGGTTGGGTTGTTGTTTGTTTGAAACTAGGTCTCTCTACATAGCCTTGGCTCTCCTGGAACTCACTAGGTAGACCAGGCTGGCCTTGAACACCCAGGGATCTACCTGCCTCTGCCTCCTGAGTGCTAGGATTAAGGCGTGCACCACCATGCCTGCTCTATAAAACCTTTTTGAGATCAGAAATTCTGTAAAGTCACACACAGCCTCTTATCCACGAGGTGAGATCCAGAAAGCTCTTGGTTGCAGCCGTCTGTCCCAGACACCACCAGCATGCTACCTAATAGATGGTCTACGCATCACGTTTCTCTTCCAAAATCAGAAAATCTCCAAATGCTGACACACACCTGGCCTCTCAAGCTTTCAGATAAAGGATCTCTGACCTGGATTCTGGTAATGCCCATCTTTGCCCTTCAGATGCAGGTAGGCCTGTCCATCCATTGTAGAGACCTGATCCATCCATCCCCTATCTAGAGCCTGCATCACACTGCCCTGGTGCTGGGTTGGCACTGGCCACTTGCTACTCCAGCCAAGTGATGGACAACTGAGGAAGGTACTTAGCAGCAAGCTTCTCTTCGCTTACTTTGCCCACTTTTTTTTTCAACATGGAGATAGTTTGTATAATGGCACAGCAGCAAGGCTCTGCCCCAGGTACAGTAGCGCTGCGGGGAGCTTACCAGATCACATCTAGGCACGCTGGACACAAACTGGGCTCCTTGACAGCCCAGGATGAATCCTGCAAGATTTAAGAGGATGCAAACCACAGAGAGCAGCACGAAAAGATTTACCTGCAACGAGAGAGAATGGATGCTTAGAAAGGAGCAGGGCTAAAACATGCAGATAACTGCGTGCAGATACATACTAAATACATACATTCAAGCCGGCCATTATCTTTCAGGAGGAAACTTCAAGGGAAAAGTCAAACATAAAAAGTCAAAACTTTAGGAAACAAAGCGATTGTGAGTTGTTTTTTTTTTTTTAGACTTTTTTTTCTCCTATTTCTAAGTGTTGTAAACTCTCAAGTCTTCCCATCCCTATTTTCTTCATCTCTGAAAATAGTTTCCTCCTTTTTGATCCTTTATCTGTATCTTACACGAGGCTCCAGCTATTTCCTCCTTGGGTCATTCGGACTTTGCCTGAGCTTTGCCAAATCAGTAACTGTAGACAGGCAGATGTAGAGCCCAGGGGCCTAACTAGACCATAAAGAGCTGAGTCATCAACACCAGAAATAACAGTGTACAAATTAAAGCAAGAGCGAAGCTCTTGCTTCAGTACAAAACAGTTTAGGTTCTAAAGAATGTTCAATAATCTCCCATAAACTTTTTTTTCCAAAGTTAAAAACGGTATCACTTCAAATAGTTGAGGACTGACCGAAGAGAAGCAACATGAGCGGAGTCAGTATTTGCTCAGTACCAGTTAGAGATTAAACACGACTTTCAACTTGAGAGCTGATTACTACAAAAATAATCTGGACAAAGACTTTGTCAAAAACAAAAGCAAACATCAAACATCAGCCAGTAAATATCAGTATTTAAACCTGTCATTAATTTAGACAGCTGATAATGCCAGAGCTGGCTGGCAAATGAGTTTACACACAAAGTTCAATACACCAAAAATACTGTCCTTAGCTACTGTTCTTATTTCAAGTCAAGGCAACAAGATTTCCCCAGACCCATTCTGTGAGTCAACAGTTAATGCCACAAGATGCCACTTTCCCTGGGGGAGGATGTGTGTGTCTGTGTGACTGTGTGTGTCCCCTTCTTGTTGGCAGTAGGACGTGGCTTCCTTCCTTTCACTGTTCCTTTGCACACATGCTGATGTCCCATATTTGGAACATCCTGCACCAGCTGCTGTGGTGACTGTCACAGGCTGGCACCCCCGCTGACGTGAGCGGCACACAGCAAGTGCCCTTTGCACTGTGTCATCCATGCCAATGCTTGTGGGGGAAAGAAGGATGTGAAACAGTCCGAGGGTGTAATGCAATCTTCCCACACGGCTTTCTCCACACTGCTAGTTGCTCTTTGAAGGGCTGTAGTGTGCCTGCAGTCTTCAGGCACTTCAGTCTTGAGCTATGCAAGCACTGTAACTTCAGAAAAGACCTAAGTTTGGCTCTGAAAATTTTCTTTTATGATAAGATAGCATGAGGGGGAAAAAAATGTGGCTATTGCCCGTATCTCCACCAGCACAATTACTAATCTTTACAACGAAAAACTAACACCATCACATAGAAAATGCATGAAGACCCATCACTCCAACACTGGACCCCAAAACTCTTCAGTAGAATCCTAATTTAGGCTCATCAAAAGATGCAATTAGTAAAATCAACAGGCATACCATAGACTAGGAGAAAATACTTTCATTCACATAAAATATTTTACATATCCATTCCTTTCTATACGTTTGCACGTATATGCAGATGTGTATTTGCACCCACATACATATGCACGTGGCGGCCAAAGACCTCTGTTGTCCGTCTTCAGGCACCATCCATCCTGCTTTTTGAGACGGTCTCTTTGACTGGCCCGTAAGCCCCAAAGATGGCTTGTCTCTGCCTCCTCATAGCTGGAATTACAGTACAACACCACATCTAGTGTTTTTCTTTCTTTCTTCGTTTGTTTGTTTCTTTCTTTTTTTTTCCTTTCTTTCTTTTTCTCTTTTTTATACGTGGGCACAGGGGCTTGAACTCAAGTCTAATGCTTGCAATGTGAGCCCTTTACCAGTTGCACTATCTGTCCAGCCCCATAGTATTTTCATGATAGATCATAGAAACTACTTAACTCAGTAGTGAAAAGACAACCTAACTAAAGAATGTAGACGAAAGACCTAGTCAAACATTACATACACACACACACACACACACACACACACACGAGAGAGAGAGAGAGAGAGAGAGAGAGAGAACCATAAGAATGCAGAATGGCCAAGAATCACATGAAAAGGTGTTCAACATTATTAGGTATCTTGAATAGAAGTTAAACCACAATGAGACAATACTCCATACCATCTTAAATGGTTAAATTTTCAAAGCCAACAATTGCTAACTATTGCTGAGGGTGAGGAGCAGTTAGAGATTGTTATGTGAATAGAAAATAGTACCATCAGTTTAGAAAAAAAAAACAGTGCCATCAGCTTCTTAAAAACTAAATATAAGCTTTGTATGTAGAAGTGTCCCAAACAAGTCATGAAGAAACTTCACCCTCCCGTCTCTACTCCATAACTGTGAATGCACAGGGCAACTTCCTTCCAAAAACATAGCATCCAAGAGGGAGGCAAGTAACTTCCCATCTGAGAAATCAACCACACCGCACCTACCAGGTGACATCGTGTCAACACCACGGAACCTCAATAAGGCAGACCGGAAATAGTACTTTACAACTGTGACCTCCCTCCTCTTCCTCCTCCTTCTCTTCCACCTCCTGCTCCAAACCCATACTAGCCTCCATCTTGTCCTGAGCACCAGGTCAGACTACCTCAGTCTTGCAAAATATATACTAAGCATCCCTCAAGTCTCTCTGAGTCATCCAAGGAAAAGAAGGAACCCTGAGAAGCCACCTCAGCCAAGAGGATACCCGGGCAGACCTGGCAGCTATGAGGTGTGGTGCTCTGAATGGGACCCCAGGGAACTGGGGGAATCTGGAGAGTGGGGCCTTTCACGGATAGTGTGGTGTTACTGCTGATTCTAGCTTGTGACAAATCTGTCTTCCTATAGATAGATGCTAATAACAGGCAAGTCAGTTTATGGTCCTCTGTGCATGTTTTGAAAATCTAAACTGCAGCCAGACATAGTGGCACATGGCTTTAATCCCAGCCCTTGGAAGGCTGAGATAGGTGGATCACTGTGAGTTTGAGGCCAGCCTGGTCTACACAGTAGAGCAGGACAGCCTGGTCTACTGGTCTCAGGAGAGCCAGAGCTACATAGTGAGACCCTGTCTCAAACAAAAACCAACCAAACAAACCCAAATCGAAGCTGAGCTTCTCAAGCATTGTAAGATCTAAGATTTTTAGTTTTTGTTTTTTTTTTTTTTAAAAAAAAGGCAACAAACTGAATATGTAGAAGTCTGTTTAAATGATGAATTACTTGAGCAATAGGAAAGAATGAGCTACAGAGGCAAAAATAACGACAGAATGAATGTCAAAGCCAAGATGCCCAGTAAAACAGATGTTGTGATTTTGTTTGCTTATGAGGAGATAAGATCAGGTGGATGATAGAAAACAGAGTGGCAGTCTGAGGTGTAGGGAGCAAAGAGACACAAGGAGCTTCTCAGGAGTGACAGACTGCCCCACAGCTTGCCAGGGACAGAGAACATAACCCTCATCACGGCTCCTAGAGCACCTGCAGGCTGGGATTGTACTTCACAGCAATTGTTTGCATTCTTTGTAGGAAAGAGCCCGAAACAGATGCCACGGTGGGAGAGTAAGATCATGAAAAGGATGCCTGCGCCTGGCATCCTCGTCATCCTTAAAACACTAGTCCAGCTCTTTAAGGAGAAGGTCACCTGAGTTACCCTAGTGCAGACCACAGCAACGCAGACCAGGGGCTAAGGGGACTCCCCTTTCAGAGGCGGCATCGTGTTCCACAGAACCGCTGGCTTATAAGGGGCACACAGGTGTCCCTGGTACCTTCAAGTTGGACACCTCTGGCTCTCTTCTGGGTGTGACGGTGTGGCCTTCAAGACCTGAATTTCCACCCTGACTTTCACCGATGTTGTACTGCCAACAAAAAACACTAGGAAAATGTCAGCTGTTAGTGAAAAATGTCAGTATCACAAAAGCCACCTAGCAACACCCAGGAAGGGAAACTTTTTCTTATGTTTCTTATATTTCAATCATTCTTTTCTTTAGAAAAAAAAATATCAGTGCAAGTGACTTGAATTTATCTTTACAGAAAGCATATATAACGTTTTTCTTTATAGAAATACAAAAAAAAAAAATGTTGGCCAGGATCCAGAATAAATTCAAGCTTGCCCATTTATTTGTTATAAAATCTTAGAAAGCCCTTGCAAGACTTACTTACTGTATTTGTTAAATTGGTCTTTGTCATTACCAATCTCAATATGTCAGTGTGGTATACAAATTTTCCTATCTTAATGTCCCCTGAAAAATACTGCACAGATACTTTTATTACTAAGAATAAAGAACAGAAAACTGGGCATAGTGGCATACGTGCCTTTAATCCCAGCCCTTGGGAGGCAGATGAGGTAGCTCTCTGTGAGTTCAAGGCCAGCCTGATCTATACAGTAAGTTCTAGACAAGTCAGGGCTACATAATAAGACCCTGCCTCAAAATAAATAAATAATCAAGCAAACAAACATTTCCTTTTTGGGAGAGACAGCTTGTTGTTACAAAGTGAGTGTTTAGGGAGGATGCTTAACTCTCATTCAGAAGGGCAAACAGAATAGAGACCAGAAGCAGTTGAAGAGAGGGAACAGGATGGGAGCCTACTATAGATGCCCTTCTGAAAGACTCCGCCCAGCAGGGGATTGAAGGACATGCTAAGACTCACAGCCAAACCCAAACTTTGGGCAGAGCGCAGGAGTCCTAGGAAAGAGTGGGGTAATAGAAGGACCCAGATTGGACTGAAGCTCCATAAGACCAACAGAGCCAAGAAATCTGGGCCCATGGGGGCCCACAAAGACTGATGCACCAACCAAGGACCATGTATGAAGAGAAACTAGACCCTCTGCTTAGACAGAACCCTCAGTCTCCATGTGAGTCCTCCAGTAAGGGGCGCAGGGGGCTGTCTCTGACATGGACTCTGTTGCCTACTTTTTGATCACTTCCCCCTTGT